AGGTTGGGTTGGGTTGGACAGGCTTGGTTGGGTTAGGTTGTAGGTTGGGGTTGGGTTGGATGGGCTTGGCTGGATAGGGTTAGGTTAGTGTGAATTTGGGGGTGAGCTTAGGCTAGATTTGACTTTGTTGATTTGTTGCATTAAGGGATGTTGAAATGATCTAGGCCTTGATGGACATTCCAGTGCTGGACATCATGCCACTAATAATTGGATTTCTCAAATTGTATAGTCGGACTGGTTTCCATCACTTTTTCTTCTCATTTTGCAGAATGTTGCCTTCATCACTGCTCAGTTTTTCTACGCCTTCTATTCTGCCTTTTCTGAACAAGTAAGTATGGACTTACTTGAAATATGCTTGAAAACTTACCCTTTATCAAGTACTATCACTTGGCACATAGGATTCCACACTCTCAACAGTTGTTGCGCCGTTAATTCATAATACCTCCCTTTCTTTTCCAGACCATCTATGACAGCTTCTATTTAACTCTCTTCAACATCACTTACACATCGCTGCCCATTCTCATCTACGGGATCGTGGAGCAGCACCTGTCCAGCGAGATGCTTGTTGAGAATCCCCGGCTTTACAGGGAGATTCAGAAGAACGCCAAGCTAACCTGGATCCAGTGCGTCTACTGGCTAGCACTGGGTAAGCTGGTCTAACACCCCAACTCCCATTCAGTTTTCTGTCAACTGCTCAGAAGTCAGTCTGATACCTTGATTGTCATTGGCCGGTACTTTAATGGATGTTTTGTGGTCTGTTGCTAGGGATTGTCACGGCATCATGTCATTGCTATAGCTCAAAGCCATAGCAAAAAACCTTAATCAAACACATCCTGGGTGTCAGTGGGACTGGGTCCCGGACTGCTGTTCTCAGTTAACTCTGACCTTAGGGCATCCCGACTTGACAACACTTGTAATCTTCATTTTTTGCCTTTATGTACTTAGAACTAGGTCCCAGACTCTTGCATTCAACTTTGCTTTATTCAGTAAACTAACCATGAACTCCCCCGACTTGACAGCAACTTTGCCTAATTCTTACCTAAAACCTTGTTTGTAAGTTTTCAATATTCCAAGCTCCTGACTGGTTTTATTTCACCCACGTGTAGGTATGCTCCATGCCGTAGTGATTTACTACTTCACCATGTTGGTCTTCAAGAATGACGCATCACTCTACCCAGATCAAAAGGTGAGCGGCTACTATCAATGTTTGAAACAAAAGCCTGTTGAAATCTGAACTTTAACTTTATTCGGCATGAATGACAAATACATAATATTTGCAAGTATAAATATTCAATGATATGAAAATATTCAGATAGTAATCAGGTAAAGACACAGTCTCAAGGAAAATGCACGTACAGTGTCAAGGAGGAAAAATAAATGTGAATCAAAATGCGGTCGCCAATGGTTACAAGGACTTGTATGTTGTTGTGTCATCACATCCTCGTTTCTTGTTTGTTCACAGAACATGGGCAACTGGTCATTCGGGACCATTCTCTACACTTGTTGTATCCTGATTGCAAACATCAAGGTGAGCTTGAGGTGATCAATTGTGAGCTTGGAATTTAGCAATCTTGCCCAGTATTAAGGTTTGATTTGAGTAGACTTGTGTAAATCAAATGAATACCAGTCATACATATTTTCAAAAAAACACAGAATTTGAGCCAATAACCTATTTTTTGCATAGTAAATTCTTTCTGTACGTCAAACTCATTGGCCCTTTTTGCATCGTTAGAAAGTGTCCCTCTGTTGTATTTCATTGTACATTTAATGCGATTCAAGTGATTGATTTTTATTTATGTTTGAATTTTCAGCTTGGAATAGAGACTAGGTGCTGGAACTGGATCACAATAGGTGCCATGGCAATCTCTATTCTGGCCTATCCAGTGTTGACGTCCATCTATACTGCATTCGTATGGTGTGTAGTACTCATATTTATAGCCATCTCCTTATTGTTTCCAAAATCCGATTTTGCCCAAATCCTGTATGTAATTATGCAACAACTTGTTTTCTTTTTGTTCCAGTACCAAGTCGAATCTAACTACTTTTTCTTTTATCCTTTCTTGTTTGTTTGTCAGGTACAATGTGTTTGGAGGATGGTAAGTTTTATTTGATTTCAGATATCTCAATGTTTCTAATACAAATGTTTACTAGCCCTGTGCATGATGGGTATCAACTGATCAGAGCAAATTGAAAATTGAAAAGACTCTAACAAAGTATTACACCGAACATTTTGTCCCCTCAAAAAGTCAAGGCAAGGTGTACCTAAAACATGCTGTGAAAAATACGGCATTGTTGCACCTGTAATAGATCAGTAGCCTATCATTAAGCCTTACAACAGGTTTTCGGCAAAAGCTTGTTTCAAGGTATAAAATGGTCTGGATTTGTGCTAGGAACAGCAATTTGTCCCACGATCAGATCACTGATTCGGCGCACCTCGTCAGTTCCTCTTTAGATTCTTTTAATTTTTTTTTCCAGGAACTTTTTCGACACAACCACGGTTTACTACGTCTTCTTCATGTCACTGAAGAGCTTGTCAGTCTGGTTTCTCATTCTCCTGGTCATTGGGGCCTGTTTCCTGCCGGACTTTGTTTACAAGACGTGCCAGCTTTACTTCTTTCCTTCGGAGAGCCAGATTGCCCACGTAAGTCCACCTTTCAGGAAGATACTAGTCGGTTGTTTGGTGACTTGTTTGGATGATGACAGCTCACATTGTTGGGACTGTGAGATTCTTTCAGGACAGGGTTTAAACAGTTCTTATTGGCAATATTTACTCTGGAGAGCTGCTTTGAATGTGTAACAGGATCGCTTAGTATAAACATGTAACGTCGTTGAAATCACTGATTGTGCAATGTAAATTAAGTTGCAACTGGATAGCTGTGTCCTTCTGATGCAGTGGGCCTGTTTGTTTCATGGGGATCTGGATCGTGATCCATGATCTGTCGTTAATTCACTGACACCAGAACCTGTCTAATGCATAGCACCAACCAGCAATGGGATCACTGATTGCAATCCAGATCCATGTGAAACAAACAGGCCCAGTGAATGCCACAACCTAGCTTGACCAGTGCTTACCAATAGCTTGACCAGTGCTTACCAATAGCTTGACCAGCGCTTACCAGGTCAAGCTGAGAATTCTAGAAGGTGCAGCTTGCTTGCAGGAAAACTGAACACTGCACGGTCAGATTTTGTTGCACAGAGATCTCCTGCAGACACACTTTTATTGCCTGCATTGTTCCTCAGTGGCCGTCTACAAATACTCTCAACTGCAGTTAACTGCAGCCCCCTCAAAGTCTGTAGACTGGATATGTGACTTCATTCATGTATCAGCATGTGAAAGAAGGCAGTACCCTCAAAGATACTGCACTGTTCTCTATGGACCTTGAGAGTCTATGAGAGTCTGTGATACCTGTTGGCTAATTGGTGTACATTTTGAGTGTACATACAACCAGAAGGCAGTGGTTTATTGTGAGTGTCCAACCTTTGTTCTGCTGGATTTGCCAAGCTGCTCTTAGACATTTGTCAATTTTTGCAGGTAAAGTCAGTGGTCAGTCACAGAGCAAGGATTAAAATGTAGTTGACTCGCCTACATTGTGTTCTGGCCACTCTGTGACTCCATATGTGAGCAGCCATATCTGAAATGGGTATATTGCCTGTGGCTGCGGCCAATCTCTGTGCTGCTGCCATTGGTAAAACTAAAGCCGTAGCCATGTAATCCCTGATTTGGACATGGTCTTAAGTAGACCTATCCCTACAGTGGAGAGAAATTCATTGTATTGCATGTGCAATTGCAGTTCAGCAAATATCATTTGGTATGGAGATCATCTGCCTTGTCACAAATGTTTCTACGCCCTCAACTTGTCTGCACAATATGTTCTAGCAGTCCCATTCCCACATTGGTTAATGTGAAGTTTGGCATTTCTGTCTCACTTCTAGCTTGTTTGAAAAATGAATCAGTCTGATCACCTATTTCAAGTACTGTATTAGTCATAGAACTTTATTTGACATTTCCTCATGGTGTGATGATCCAATTCTCATGGTTGTTCATCTAGTTGTTCTCGTTTCCATAGTTTTTTAGAAGCAGCAGCCCTACAAACCATAACTCACCAAATCCTTGGTTTTTCAACTTGTAAAGACTTCCACGTTTCCATTCCTCATTCTGTGCACATGTTTCAGTACACCTGAGTAGTTCTTGCACCGCAACAGGATGGCGAAATTGTAGAAACACCCAGACAATTTGAAAGTTAATGTCTAGATACCTCAGGCATTCAGTCATTCACAGTTTTATGTATTATATATAAATGCACCATTGCAGTTATTACAGCTTACTTATTTCTATTTAAGTGTTCACATTTTTCATACATCTTTCCTTTTTGAAAACACTGCTCCTAGTTTTTTTCAGCGCATTTTACTGAATTTTTATTTAATAGTAAATAACTAAAATTTAATCAATTGCTGATATATAAATCTGTACTTCCATATATTTGCTGAGATTAAAAGTAACTTAAAGACAAAATGTTGCTATCTACTGATAGCAAGTGGACATTGGATGCATTGGTTAGGGCTGCTGGCTGGGATGGCAGCACCTACTTTTAACTCCAGACGTTTTTGTCTCAGCAGCCAAAAGGGTGTGCGCAAGGAAGCACCTTCATCTTGAGAGAAGTTCGCCTGCCTTGGACTGGGCGAGAACGATCAACAAGTCGGCAAGACCTCGTTTCAGAAAATATGTAGTTTGTGCCCTCCTCAAAAATGACATAAGTTTGAAAGTAAGAAGGAAAAGATGGGACATGTTTGATACTGTTTGTCTTCTTGAAAAAAGGCTTGGTGTCGCAGCTTTTTTTGTTTTGTTTTACATGAGTATTCCATTGCTTTTAGTACCTGCAGAGTACTCCATTTGGTTTTGTCACATGTAAGGAGAAAATTTGTACATCTTAACAAGCAATCTACACATCCAGCTCACTGCATAGTGGTTTGGGACCCTTTTGCCCTTCCATAGATTGCTATACTTTTGTCATCGTAACTAGCAAATTTCAACGCCGTTATGCATCTGTTGCCCTGTATACTTCTAAGCTGACCTTTGACTCCTGAGTCGACCTTTGAGTCTTTCAAAGGGATCCCCGGACCGTGTCTGTTAAAATTGGTTCAAGTGATAAGGAAGTGAAATTGAAGTCACTGAGGCGAGATTCAGAGTCTCTGTACTATATGTTCATAAGTGCACTTTGCAGGTGTTCTTAATGAACATGTTAATGAGCATGTGCGTAACTTCCAAGAGATTTCAAATTCAGTACCATGAATTTAAGAGAGATGCTTAACTTTTTAAGATGCCTCCGGTTCTTTTCGTGAGGAAGATAAAAAGTTACCATACGGAAATAAAATTGTTCCCATTCCTTTTCATGCCTGGTCTCTCCACAGTTAAAGTGGCACACGGGCAGATGCCATAAGCTGCTTGAGTCAGAGACTATGCTCAGGAACGGTGCCAGTTCGGCCAACCGACAGACAAACATTCCCCGCACAGTCTATGGCACTCTCTGATGCCCATCCCTCCCCCAGGTCAGACATGTCTTTTGACGCATCACTCTGTCACAGTCCCAGTGGTGTGGTATAGGAGGGGCAGAGGGGAGGGGGCAGATGAGGGGAAAGGGGGGGGAGCTTGCTTGGGGCTTTCATCGGAAAGGGAAACCTAACTCATCAAGCAAAATGTTGGCTGTCTTCAGACTTGCATCTCACAAGAGATGCTTGGTACGCATTAGACCAATCCAAACCTGGTGGAAATTTGGAGTATCCACTTTGTGCATACCCACCCGAATAAGGGTGCTGTATTACTTGTTACCAAGGCACACTGTTTGTTAACTTGCAGTATGAGACAGTCAAGCCAGTTTAAGATCACAGTACACCTTGAAGGGGAAAAAAACAACACCCAACAGAATATCTGTCACCCCAAGAAGCCGGGGGAGGGGGGAGCACAGAGGTGTTAAGGTTGCCACTGCATCACTTGTTCCATCTCAAACATAAAACTGACAAGATTTCCCCAGGAGGGTGTATCAGCACTCACTTTGCCAAGCTTACCTGCAAAAAAAAATTAACAGGGTGCTTGCTTGTGTGAGGTTCAGCTTTTGAGAATTAAAAGACCTAAAAGCATATGGAAGTCACTTTCCATTGCTGAACTAACAAGCCCTGTTTTTTTTCTCATTAACAACTTTTGCTGTGAAAAAACCAAATGCCACTCTAGAAGTGCTGCTTATCCGTCTGGCTTAAGCATGCGGTAGTTTTAGGCAGCTTGTGCAAATAGATAAATATCATTTGATAACCTAGGCAAAAGCACATGAGCTGTAGACAAGCTGTACTGCTTTACAAAGTGTTGCCTGCGTCAGATGGTCCATCCATGTGACCCAGTGCAAACCAAACAACTGGACTTGAATTGTCCTTCCTTGCACCCTCTTGAGAATTTCCAGTCAGGCGGCCTCATGATGATGTCATCCTGAAATCACACCAAGATATCCCATCAGGCATCTCTCATCATGATCTCCTCCTGTAACAGACCTGTAGTATGCAGTAAATCAGACAACATCATTCATGGCGGCAGCTCCATGTTGATTCATCTACATCTGCACCTATCAGATTTTGTGTATAATTTTGTTTGCCATGTTTCTCTGGTTCCCTGTAGCCCAGTTAGCAATGGTAAATACAACTTCACATATTGATAAAAGGGAACAGACTAATATTTCTTCCAGCTTCAGTTTGGTTACGTTGCTTTGAATGGTAGAAAAGCAAGCTGGCTGACCCGTGAAAGAGGTCTATAGTGAAACTTGTGGAAGTGTTTTACAATGATATACATGTACTAAGCATAGGCAGAGGCAGATTCAGAACCAAATTGTTGGAATTGAGGCAAAATTGTTTGCGATGAGGCTACATTTATGGGCTTCAAATGTGCTTTTTGAAGAGATGGGAATGAAAAAAAAGAGGAAAAACTGTGTCTCATTTTTCCCAAAGACTTTTAAAAATCTTTATCGGGGGAGGGAGGAACATGGCCCCTGTTTGGCCCCCGTGGATCTGCCTTTGAGCATAGGAATACCAAATCCGGTTACCAGCCAAGTGGCATGCAGTGCAGATTGCTTGTGACTGCTTCCTACCAGACCTCTGCCAAGCACATCAACTTCGTAAGCATGAAATTCAACCCTGATCTATATAATTTACCGGCAGAGTTTTAAGTTTCCCAAAGCGGAAATTTGTGTAATCGAGGAGAGGCTCGAGTTCATGGAATCACAGCATGGATCTGTTATAAAATCGTTTCCTGTGTTTGATCTGATACATGGCTCTTCTACTGATTTCAAATGGGAAAAGAGTTCGTGGCATATATCTAGAATATTGAAGAAGTTTTAACCGTCAGTTTGGATGTAGATCCCTTTTGTTGTTGTTCTGGTTCTTTTAGTTTCTGTATTTCTAACCATCCTGAGCCTTTGTGCATGTTAAAACCCTTTGTAAACTTTACTGCTGCCTCGCGTTCAAAAAAGGAGTTGCAACTTTCCTTAAGTCCTTTATAAAATGTCTACTTGAAGTAGACTTGTGCTAGTCCTGTATTGTCTAGTGGTTGTGTTGTCCTTCACATCTTTACTGTATGCCTGTAGAGTTTATTATACTTGATAACATTTTAGCCCTATTTAATGAGAGAACTCTATGGGCAGCTTGCCCTGTGTGAGTGAGGGCATTTCATGGAATCAATTATTTCCTTTCTCTTTAAAGTAATGTGAGATTTGCTCTGATTGGACAGTCTTCAATATGACCTTTACTCCGATTTGATAGTGTTCAAACTAGTCCAAGATAGGCAACGAGAGCCCCTTTGTCTCAAATGCATTGGAAAATGTTGCCTCCAAAGTGTATTGTAAACAGCAAAACTGTCCATAAAGTTCGGAGAACATTTTACCAAAACTCAATAGCGTCCTCCTATTGTGTCCACCATACCTCAAATACTAATACATGTAATGGTAGGATGCTCTTCTTTTCAGAAACCACTCTAAGAGTTCTGAGAAGTTATACAACTACATCGTGCCATTTCAGTACCATTTTATTGGAAACTTACTGCATGTTGTTGGTTTAGCTTTAACCACAATGCTTTCATGATTTCTTTCATCCATGCATCAACCATTGTAGAGGAATGTTTCATACCTTAGCTTTGTGAATGGCAGATATTTGTCATGTGATTGTTATATGAAAGTTCTCATTTGGAACCAATGTTCTTGGAACGTTTTCCCCCTTACTAATCCTATTTTGTTTTAAATTACAGCATGTCCTATCGTGGAATAATTATACAGGTTTGCCTGGTTCCGGTAGTTGCCTGATTCCAAGTAATCATCAATTCAGCTTAAAAAAAAATAATTGATAATTCATTTGTTTCTTTTTTCCTTGGTGATGCACGCATCTGGGCAGAAGGCAGCTGGTATGTGCTCATGGTTCAGCTTGGCTTGCCTGTACTACCAACCCTCAGAGGGGTTGGTCCTTGCATGCCCTCTCTCAGGGGATGTGGGTATATGCAACCATGCCCTAGGTATGATCGCTTTTGATGAATGGCGCCCCCAGTAGTTGTGTCTTGTATTGAAATTATCCTCAGTTTTACAATATATATTCAGCTGATCTTTCATTTCTCTCCTTTTTTGGGAAGATTTGATGTCGTTGTCATTGGAATGGGAACCAGAGCAGTATAGCTATATAGCCTATCACTTAAAATAAATCACAAGGATCGTATCCTCAAAATAATGGTACCATTATCTAAAAGAAATCTTGATCGCAGTTTTCCATGACCTGAAGGACATGCTCTTTTTACCCATAATGTGGATGTCTGCTTGGGGCTAATAATTCAAGAAAAATGGATACTGTTCAATGCCTTGATTGAATGAGAGGCACAGGCTGGATTCTAACTCGAGACCAACCATTCCAAAAACCACAATACCATCCTATCCAATTGCCGAGCTCCAGATATTAGATAGATAGATATATCTGTATTGCCATGTTTAGTTTTGTTCCCCTATACTTCAATTACAATGATTGTTGTAAATCTGTAGAGCAGAGTTTTACATAAATTCATGTTCAGTGTTCACAGGTCTTGTTTTGTTGTGACTGCACTCTGCTGAATGTTGTGCCTTTGTATATCGCTGTAACAATGTGAAACATCAATCCTTGTCAAAAAATCAAGACTTAAAAACAAGTGGAAATCAAAGCTTACATTTCATACAACAAATCCAATTCAGGTAAACTTTGCTGCATTGGAAAGGGAATCTGCAGAATATCGCTCAGTGGTCTTTAAAAAGGTCAATTTCCACAGTGAGCTAATGTTTTTCAAGAAACTGGTTGTGGCTGTCAGTGAACTCAGAATATATGGTTATTTCAGGTGTCTGCTACTTGAGAGTATGGGGTTCTGTTTCTCATTGTAATGGTATGGTTCTGGAGTATTTCTGATCGTCCATCGGCGTGTTGTAACAGAGGCTTTATTCTGTTTCCTTACTTCAGTTGTATCAGTTAGTTCAATCCATGGGCAGCCACTAGAGTGCATCATGCATGTCTCTTGATTCTAATACAAGGGAAATGGCCAAGGAGCTGACTTGGAGAGGGGTTCATGTTCGGGAAATATTATCAGTCCTTGTAGTCATACTCCGAGTTCAGACGACGTTGGTTAATCTGTTGAAAGTGGCTGAGGCTACTGTGTATTATTGTTCTGTGTTGCTCCCATGGACGTTGGTTAATCTGTTGAAAGTGGCTGAGGCTACTGTGTGTTATTGTTCTGTGTTGCTCCCATGGACATTGGTTAATCTGTTGAAAGTGGCTGAGGCTACTGTGTGTTATTGTTCTGTGTTGCTCCCATGGACATTGGTTAATCTGTTGATAGTGGCTGAGGCTACTGTGTGTTATTGTTCTATGTTGCTCCCATGCAAGTCTTGTGATTACTCTGTGGCTCTGTCTACCTCTCCTTGCTTTTATGCAAAGTGTACAACATTTGAGTGCCTGACAGAAGTTGGATTCATAGTTTATTTTGTGTTAGCAGCTTTTGTTTGGCTGTGTGAAACTTGAGCATGGTTTAAGTTTTGGTTTTTTCGTGACAGTTCTTGAAGTTTGTAGCAATTTCAACTTAAATTTGAAAGCTCTGATGGGACACTAACTTACATTGCGTGATTGCGTACCTCAAATAGAGAGGCCATCACCAGAGGCCACGGTGCACACTATACTTGAACAAGATCGGAGTGTAAGCCCTGGGGTGGAGGAGGTATGTAGAAGCGAGGTTGATACTCTTGTGTGAGTTGGCATGAGCTGTGGTGTGCTTTTTGTACTTCTGGCTTGTGTTGTATAATGGTTCTAAGAATTGCATGAGTTTCTGCATGGAAGATGTATAGCACCTAACCTAATTATTTTAATGTATGGTTTTTGAGTGAATGAAGAAGAGAAATGGAAACTTGTTATAAAGCGTTGGTAAATTTCAATGAAATTTCTTTAAATGTGACTTCCATTAAAAAGAAAACGAGTTTGCCATTTAGCCCACTGCTTATTGAAGTGCAACACATTTTGCAGTTTTGACTAACGCATATTGCCAAGGTTTAGAATTTTGTTTGCCTTGAAGGTTGACTTTCATTTCAACCAGCTGCAGCTGTTTATGCCATGAAAATAATTAATTTCCATTTTATATATTGCGTATTGTTTTATCAATAAAATTGCATGTGCCTGTTTTGTCAAATAAAAATTGTTTTAAACGAAGAAACTTGTTTTAAACGAAAGTTATTATTATGCAATATTAATTTGATATGAGGAGAGAGTGAAATTTAATTTGAAGAATCCTAAATAAAAGACAAAAGCGTATTTTTGTAATGTGCAACTTCTTCCCAAAGTACCTGATAGTTTACCAAAAAACTACATGTGTGTGCTTACACATGTTAAAACTTCCTTTGTTCTTTTGTGAACCAGATTTGTAACTTTTCTGTGTGTTTATAGTTACATTATTAGGTATTGTTCTTGTCTTTATTTTTGGAACTGTTGCTAAAAAGAAATATAGATAGAGTTGGAACTATATAATCGTTCACTGTGAGCCATTCTGCTGATTGAAAAGAAATATAGATAGAGTTGGAACTATATAATTGTTCACTGTGACCCATTCTGCTGATTGAAAAGAAATATAGATAGA